AGCGAATTTCAAATAATATCGCAAATAATATTTACGTAGCGTAACGTAAGCATATACGCACAATCACGATGTATCAGAAGCACTCTGTATAACAATTTCGCTCGCCGTCGTTTCACGCAACGTCAGGCAATGACGTAAAATTTGAACAAAAACCACCCGAACTGTGGTATAATACGCCCGCGGCACAATTAGTAAACACACAATTTTAGGTTCAATCGCGAATGTGTTTATTTGTGTGCTCAGGTCAGTGGGATTGAGCCACTAGTTTTCAACAAGTAATCGCAAAATATATGCTTTCCACGGTTACGTATGTATGTACGTCGGCCGTATTGACGTAGCAATGCTTACGATGAAACGAATATTCACCTTTTTAATTAGAGGGCTGCATGAATTCATTCAAACTTCTAGACAAAAAGAGTACAGTAGATTTGAATATTTTACTTCACATACAAAACACTCAGCGTTTGGAATTTTGTAAGTTATGAATATACATTTTGTTTTATATTTTCTACCTTCAAATGGAAGAATGTGAATGAATGAATGGAAAACATTCAAATCATTCAAACTCAGTTCGGTAAAAGTTTTTTTCTACAAACACGTTTTTTCGTATGTAATAGGAGCGCAGCAATACATACATACATACATACATTGTATGTTTGTACATATGTGCATAGAAAAATTATTTTTGAATATTCATACACAAAATTGTCATTTATTTCAATTCAATTTATTTTCACTTTGTTTGAATATTGTGATGTCGACACAAATATCAGAACAGCTATTCACTCAAATTCAAAAAAATTTTAAGCCAAAATCAGTCATTCGTTTTGTATATGAATAATACAAAAGCCGTTTTGAATGCATTCATGCAGCCCTCTATTTTTAATGTAGCATTACATACAATGGAAATAGTGCATATTTACCCCCTAATTCTGTGCACTTGATAAATTCAACATCTTGTTTATTTATCAAGATTGACAACTTATCAAGATTTTTCTATTCTATGTCATAAATAAAAAGCTCTTTTCTTGATAAATTGTCAAGATGTCAAATGCTGTTGACAGTGATCTTGACAAATAAAACATCTGTTTTACTATTTGTGCATAGTTGTGAAAAATAATTTGTTAGAATGGAAGAAGATATTTTACTTTTACACAGTATATACGGGAAGGTGAAAGAACAAGATCGAGATATATTCAAACTCTTTAGTTATTAAATTTATCAACAAATAAAGCCAGAAATGTGGACTTTCTCAGATTTGACTTCGCAAATTCCCTTATTTACACTGCCGGAACAAAGTATTGGTACAGCAAATTTTTTACAATATATGCACCAATTTTTATTCTAATATTTTTCCTCCAATTTTGTATAAAAATATGGTTCATTTAACAACAAAAAACATAAAAATATATTTCCTAAACTGTGTGCAAAACTCGCGAAAATTCAGCAAATTTTCATCAAAATTTTCAACTTTTTAATCAGATTTTTTAGAATTTTTTCGAGAATGCAGTTCGATGCATGCAAGTTCGAGACTGCGTGAAAAAAATTGCCAAAAATCAACGGTTATTCCTAGCTACTTAACCTTGCATTTTATTATAATAAAATTGATTGCGCTACAAATCTTCATACTCAAAAAAATTCTAAAAAATCTGATTAAAAAGTTGAAAATTTTCATGAAAATTTGCTGAATTTTCGCGAGTTTTGCACAAAGTTTAGGAATTATATTTCAGCGTGAAATGTTAGTGTACAACTTGATCTAATTTAATATTCAATATTATTTACACGAACAATTTTTTGCATTAATTATTTATGGAAATATAGTTCATTCTGTAATATAAACTATATAAATCAAAGTTTCACGCTTTATATGAAGCTCACAAAAATTTAACAAATTTTCATCAAAATTTTAAAAATTCAAAATTTCTGGATAATTTTCAAGAAGCAGTTTTGTAGCCCATTCAATTTTAGTGCAACAAAGTGCAAGTTTGAAGTCGCTAAAATTTACCGTTGATTTGTTAGATTTTTTTTTTGTGGAGGGTGTTCTGCATTTTTTCCCATATAAAAAACCATGTCGAACATACCCGTCAACAAAAAAAATTGCCAAAAACCAACAGTAAGTCATAGCTACTTCAAATTTGTACTATACTAAAACTTAATGGGCTAAAAACTGCATACCAAAATATTTTCTAAAGATGCGGATAAAAAAGTTATAAATTTTGGTGAAATTTTGCTGAATTTTCATATCTTTTGCACAAAGTCTGAAATTTGGATTTATTTAACCTTTGTCAAGTAAACAGCTATACTTTCATAAAAAAAATAATAAACATTAAATAAACTGAAGAAAAATAGTCAAAACTTGATTAAATGTCGCGTCCCAGTTTTTATTTCATTCACTGTATTTATCTGAATGTATCTGGGACTTATTGAAATATGTAAATAAAGAAGTAACAAAAACTTAGTTTTTTATATTTTTATTGCGACCTGTTTTGATTAAGAACATTCACAAGTTCTGCGACAGTATTGGATAGGCCTTGGATGGTCTGCATCATCTCCCGGTGCTCTTGACGCCTTTCATTTTCAATGCGTTGCCTTTCCTCCTCAGCAGAATTCCTCTTTGCAATGTTAGCTATCAAAGTGCTAATTAATTTCCTTCAAAATAAAAAAAAATAATTAAAAAATGCACAAAAATATACATATGTATGTACATACATACAAATGTTGTAATACAATAGAAAACACACCTGATTTTCCAAGCTTAGCGATGAACATGGAGATGATGCAGGATTTGCTGATATTTCTGGGCTAAGTGGTTGTCCTGGGCTTGGAGGTTGTCCTGAGCTTGGCAGTTCTACTAGGTTTAGCGGTATTAGTAATGGACTACATGATGGCTGAGGACTGTCCAAAGAAGATGTGCTTTCAGTTGGTGATATTGGGCCCTCAACTGACAAAGGCTCAAGCGAGTACGTCAACCCAAAACTCTGAATGGTCTTGACCCCTTCAACAGCTGCTGATACAAATGTAGATAAAGCCTTTTGCTCAAATTCGCTCATCGTCTTGCAGCTTGGTCCTCCTCCAGTCAGCCTCTGGCTCATTTTCAACCGCTTTGCCCGCGTGCGTAGTTGACTCTTCCACACACCTAACGTCTACATACATATGTATGTATAAAAACGTTGCATCAGATATAAAAAAAATGTAACTAATATCAAGCAAGTTACCTCTTTCCATTTAGCTGCAGTACGTGTTGGTCCTCTGCAAGAATTCAACTCCTCTGCCAGCTGCTTCCACAAGTCTTGCATTTGCTGAGACGATTTTGGCGAATTTTTTCCAGTGCCAATTTCTGGGTGTGCCTGGCAAAATGCAACGTAGAGCTAAGTTGCTCGTGGGTAGCACGGTCGTGTTTCGATTTCCTGTAAATTAATTTTAATATTAAGTTAAATATTATTTTACAACAAATAATGAATAATATGTGAAATACTTACGTTGTAGCAGAATCCATTTCGTGAATAACAAAAAGTAAACAGAAATCAGCTGTTTCTGTTTCATTAAACTGTTCACCACACGTGTGGGGAAAAGCGCTGCACTCTGAAGCTTTAATTTTTATCAAGATTGCCACATAATAACAAACAACTTCTTGCTTGATAAAACTCTTGATAAATTATCAATATTTTGTTAATTTTTCAAGTGCACATAATCGGGCTGTTACTTTGTACAAGCGAAACTCGTATAGATGTATGTGCAAACAATAAATACATACAAACATACACAAAGTGGAATTTGGGGTTAAATGGCTTGTTCGCCGGCGTACGCTTTTTAGGCAAAATTTACAATGCGCGAAACCAGGGATGTCATTATTTTATTTAGTGAAAAACTGTTATACCGCTGGCGCAGGCAGCTAACGCGACCACCAAAATCTTTATGTATATTTGTATATGCAAATATATGTTGCAAACAAAAAAAATTAAAGTAACGAGAAATACCCTCCAAAGGACTTTATTGCTATGCACATAAAACGGATGATCGTACGGTATATATGCATGTATGCATATACATAGGTAGATCCGTTTTGGAATAACCGTACTATATAGCGTATATAAAACACCCACGCGCGTCGTGGCCTGTTTGCGAGCTTAGGTAACTAGCTAGCAACGGGAATTTATGTGTATGTATATTTATTCGCAGCGCACCGTTTTAATGAAAATATATTTCGCCAAAATTTACGTATACGGCAATCGTATGAACGTAAAATAATATTCTTACGTTGATGCAAACAACTGACCGTATAAGTATATATGTACATA